ACACACACACACACACACACACACACACACACACACACACACACACACGTTAGAGAACTGCTAAAATCATTGCCAGGGTTCATAACAAAATTTTTAACTTTATATTTGTCAGCCCTCCGACATTTATTCTTCATGTAAATAAGCAAAAGTCTTGTGGATTGAGCCATTTGACTTCTTAATTAATAGCTATTGAACTTTTCTGAAATGCATTAAGCAAAATGTCTATGAGACGAACAGTCAGCTGGATTAGCCTTATGCCAGCACCAGTCATGTTTAAAGCTCCAAGAACACAATGCCTCTAGCTAACCATGCAAAAGATGGAAGTTGACTGTCCTGGTGCTCTGAAGCACAGCCTCAGCCAGGGCTGTTAGTGACTGTCTACAACAGACTTGTAATCACAAGCTTCCATGAATTGTGTCCACCTTGACCACAGACGAATCAATTTCCTGTTGCAAGAATGATTCTGACTGGTTATAAAATGAGACAATGATTGGTTCAAAAGACTATGGTTGTTGTAGTTGGCCCAATAATTATAGTTGGTCCAAACTAAGTACCAATGACTGTGATTGGTCCAAATACTACCATTTACACTCATCTTAGCAGGATGCTGAGGTTCCCTGAATGAGTCATCTGGATTAGCTCTCCTGAGTTGTGTCTACCGATTTGCTTGGACCCATTAGTTTCTCTATAGTAGTCTTTTCTTGACTACTTTAGTAACAGAACTGTCTAGGGGAATAGCAACTTAGTGCTAAAGTTTATTACAATGCCTTCTAGCAAGCTGGAAGACTAATGCAGGCATGCTGACCACAGGCCTGATCCTGCGGGCTCAAATATTGCGTGTCACCTTTAGATCTGGTGACACTGGTGTAAGGCTCCAGAATGGCCGAGATCGTTTATTGTTCCATGTTTCCAACCATCAGGCTCTGGCTCCAAACTCAGGAGGAAGGGAGAGAGATAGAGAGAGAGAAAGAGAAAAGAAAGAAGGAAAGGAAAGAAGCCTAACAAAGTCAGATTCACATATCAGATACTAGGTAATATTTCTGCTAAGTTCAGTTTTCCAAAGAGTACTGTAGTGGAGTGCATCTGATCCATACTAAGTAATCGACTGAAATAGACTAAAGCCTCAGAAACACTAATGTCTGAGAGGAGAGTTAAGTGTTGTTTGCTTTATTTTCCTAGAAGTTAAATACTGTGGGAGATGGAAGGTTGCAAGCAAATTTGTGCAGGTCAATTAACTTTCTAAATTTATTTACAAGGCTGAGTAAATTCTTATTAAGTATTTTATCTAAGGAGTTCAAAATGAACTAGATTTAATGTTTGACAACAAGCATCTTTATTCCAGTTCATAAAATAAGCAAGTTCAAGCAAGAACTGTGTCTGTCAGTTGTTTCATTTGTTCATGCAAGTCTGCTGGGGACCTGAGATGACATTAACACCCCAATTCTCGGAAGTCACAAAGCCAGACCTCAGTAAACGAGCGTATATGTGAGATAAACACAAATTAGCTTAGCATTTATAGTAATTGAGAAGTGGTGCTAAATCATACTGACCGATATTTTTAAATACTTTTAAATTTGTAATTTTCTATTCTTTCTCCATACTTGTGTACATTTTATTATACCTCATCCCTTATCTCCTACTATTCCCAGTTCTTCCCCTCATATCTCCCACCCAACGTCATGTTCTTGATAGCAAGACTGGTAGCTGATATAGATAAATATAGATTAGACACAGATATAGATAGGCATGGGTACTGCTGTGGGATCTTTCTGGAATAATCAACCCAACACCAAGGAACGTAGAAGAGAGGAGATGTCACTAGTGGACCTAAGCCAAGACAGTTCCTAAAGAGCTTCCACCTCAGGTGCAGTTTGCTTTCTCATTCTCTGCTCTAGAACCCCAAGGAGGGGAGGGCTACCATGCAGGCTCTTACGGAAGAGCATATGGCAGTCAGCAGGTTTGAAGGGCAATGACCCATAGTTTCAGCAATTTCTCTTTCTCTTTCTGTTCCATGTAGCCTGTTACGTCACTTGGCAAATAGTTAGTACAAGCAATGCTTCAAGTAAATTGCTGTGAGAGCTCCTTCCACTCCTTCAGTCAATAGCCTTTAAGATACCAGCCCCCTTGGGTGTGGTCTCTTTTGCTTTAAAAGCAGCAATAGACCTGCTCTTGCTTTCTTGATTCCGGCTCCCGCTTCTGGCTGCTAAACTCTGTTCCTGTTCACTCAGAGGGCTGTTGTCTAGGACAGTGATCTGTAAGTTTTCCCCTTAAATAAATAGTCCTTTTATTAATCATAATTCCAAACTGGTGTGAGATTGTTTTGGGATTTATGACATCAGTAAATCACTAAATAAATCAATAAATCAGTATTGAATAATTGAACTGTTTCACCTTATTTTTATTTCAGTATTATATGCTAAAACATTTTAATCCTGCTTTGGTAGCTCACACTTATAATTGCAGTGCCTAGGATGGTGAGGCAGGAGAATCATCCATGTTGTGAGGCCAGGCTGGATTACATGGTGAGTTCTACGTCCTTCTTATTACAGTGTCAACACAAAAACAGGTTTTAAATGCTTTTAGGGGATGTAATACTGTTTAACAGCTCAAGTGTTTTATTTCTTTCACATTCTTTTTCCCTGCATGAATATGAATTCATTCACTAGTCATAGGAAATCTAATGACTGCTTGTGCAGGCAAAGTGCATTTAAAAGGTGAGAATTACCTTTTATTATTACTATTAAGTTAATTCTTTATTTTCACTTCAGCGATATCTTCTAACCTCAGTTGTGTTAAGTGGCTCCATCCCACTGATAGCACAGTGATTTTCCCAGTGCAGTCATGTTGCTTACAGTAGTGAAAATAATTCCTCACTACTAATACTATGCCTGTGTCACTAACTACAGACTCGTTGTGCCAACCTCATTCAACTTCTGAAAGCCTCAATAAAAAGCACATTGTTAAGTCCACCTGTGAGAGTGGTCTTGGATGGTATTAAGATCTGAGGAAGCAAGCCCTCCTCCAGCCAAATAAAGCTCTAGATGTGGTATGTGCGCTGGTCCTCCCAGGAGGAAGGGGCAACTCTCTTGCCTGAGCACAATTTTGTCCATGTATGTATCAGTCTTGGCAGCAGCAATGGCATGGCAGATACTGCATAGCGGAAACAAACGAAATTCTCTTTTAGTGGATCTGGGGGCAAAGAAAAAGTTATCCAGGTAAGGCAATAGTCAACGAGGCTGTGGATTGGTACAGAGAGTAGTGCAGGGTCTTCAAGTGGTCGAGAACAGAAAAGGCTCTGTCTATGTCTATTGTTCTTTTAATGAGTGTCAATTCCATCCATTAGGGCTCAGCCCTTATGGTCCAATTCCCTCCATGTATGGTGGTGCCTCTTTCAAATCTTCCCACACTGGGGATTCCTTATATAAAAGTGCAAGCAGGGACGTTCCTCTCAGGTTCTCTGCACTATCTTGAAGTGTCTATGCCAGTCTGATGATTATATTCGGGTCCTCTATTCAGCCGCAAAAGAAGGAATGAGTTCCTCAGGTCATATGCCAAGTGTCATGTGAATACCATGGAACCAAACTGTCTCTCAGTTTAAGGGAAATGATGATTGGAAATGTGGTACTGGACGATAACTACGCCAGTGTCTTTGCTTCTCTGAGATGTCCTCATCAGGCTTGGTGTCCATCACTCTCGTGCTAAACTCTTTCTTCATGAATTGCAAGCTTAACCTAGAGAGACAAAGTCCAGAGCTCCTCAGCACCACACTCTGATTTCATCTAAGTGAAAGTGAGACTTTACTGGAAACTCACAGCACCCTCCCCCTCCCCCCACCCGCATGCTGTCCTCTGGCTGACACATGAGATTCATGCACAGTTGCCCTGGATACTGTCCCCATGGGATCTCTAATGACCAGAACAGGATATAGATTTTATGTCTCTGTGAAAGATAACCAGTCTGGCCTCACATGCTGTTACATGCTGAAGAACTGGCTGACAAAATATAACTTTGGCTATTATTTCCCCAGCCTTCTTGAGCTCCGTCTTAAATAGCTTCCCCAGCCTCCCAGGCAGTGCTATTTTAAATAATTTGGTGTCAGCACTTCTGTGATAGATACCAGCTGCCAAGCATTAAAAAAAATAGCTAAAAAACCTAACTGGTTTTCAAATGAACACTAACTGTCTCAGGCTGCAAATACATTTAATGAAATATTTAAACAAAATTCCTCTCCAGATGAAACAATTTAGTAACTTCTCTTTAAAAAATAAACATTTGGAAGACTAAGGCAGAAAGATGAAACAACTGGAATTGTTTTGCATATATTTTGAAGTACCAAAGGGCATAGGGGAAAGTTTGCTATTCTGTACATGACCAGAGTTGCAGGGCAGCTGTAAATCAGATAAGTACTCTAAGATTTCACAGAGGTAATTCATTTAATTTTAGGAGAACATGGGGAGAAAAGGCAGGAAAAAATGCACACTTAGCAAGCAGGAGGGCAAAGGATGTGGACAGCATAGAACCACACATTACCATTTCAAGCAAGCAAAGTGCTGAGCGTGATAAATCGGACAGAGGAAAGAACACCATCAGCAGGAATGTGTCCACGTCTGAGAGATGGAGGCATTGTCGCCTACCTTCAAAGACCTACACACAAAAAATGGCCAGCAAAGAAAGAGCTTCTCTGGAGTGTGC